AAAATGCAGTTTAAGCCAGACAGCATTTATGTGATGTGTACGGAGAAGAGAAGAAGTGAATCGAACACCAATGCCAAACTTTTATAATTTCTTTCAATTACAATTTCGATCTTTAAAGTACACCACGTTCTGCAAGCCATTATGGAGCCGATGTGGATAAAATAAAGTCATTGGTCGATTCATATCGGTCAAAAACACCTTGAAAGATTTCGGAACGATTCTAGAATTAATTTCGAAGGTAATATATGGGTTCTTCATATTCTTAGAGAACGAAATTTGCTTCGTCACATTAACAACTGTGATTGACTTGTCAATCGATTAAGAAAAGTGGGTTGTTTACATGAATGTAAATCGCAAGAGATCATGATCTCTAAATGAACCACCTCAAACCACTTTGAGGGTCACCACAAAAAAGGTTATGTTGTCTGTTTTGTGGGATTAACTCAGAAGTTTTAAGTGATCTGCTGGAAAAATTAAGTCGTAAGAATAATCGCTATAACTAGCTAAAAGTTTTTACAGCTTGAATGGGATATGCTGCCACACCCACCATATTCGAGAGGCTTGGCACCTTTAGATTATTGCTAGTTCGAATCTATGTAAAAAAATTGTGGATCAGAAAACCATAATATCAAATAAGAACGTAAAAAAAGACTTGTACTTGTACAACGATTTTATGAGCGTGGAATTAATCTACTGGTGATAGATAGCAAAATGTATTGACTTAAAATGCAGAATACTCAATTGCATAAAATGTTTTACACAATAAAAAAATCTTGTTAAAATTGCACTAAAAAAGCGGAATAATTTAGTGAACGATCCAATATTTTATTAGCGTTAATCACCCTCTGATGCTAATATGAAATAATCAATCATACGTAAGCCATTAGCGCGCGTTTGTAAACAGGTTCACTCACTAGAGACTATGTCTGAATGAAATTTCAGTGGCAATCGATAACTTTCACCAATACCACACAACCAGTAATTTGCCAACAACAACCGGAATTATTCGGCCTACTCTTTCATCTATCAAAGTTATTTCTGTTTTCTAAAATTTTTTGAATAAATATGTATGTGTGCAACGCAAACAACACAAATTTCGATATTGGCCGAGGCAACCATACAAACCACCCGTTCGTCAGTTAAGAAGCATCACGCGCGTACACAAAGCGTTGTGCCGCCCGCTGTTGGAACAGGAGCACCGCACAACCCGTTTTAGACTTATTCAATTATACGCTTTCTTGTTTGGCAGCGCTATTAGACGGCGTTAGAGCCCATTTGGCTTGCGATGCCAAAAAGAAAAGGCCGACGAATCGCTAGAAGCTGGTAAGAATACACATACATTATATATGTATGTATATACACGTGTATACAATGTATTTTCACTTGCTGTCAACGAGTCTTGCAAAGCCGAAACCATAGAAATGGCACGCAGACACTAATTTCAAATAGGCTGACCAGGCTGAGAGATAGCTTCTTTGGCTGTGACAGGTAAATTGTTTGGAATGCAAAGCGTGAACATAGTTCAATAGTTCGTGGCTGAGCGAAGCGCAACGTTACGTTTTGCTTTTATTTAGTAAAAATTCTAATTTTTTACTTCTGAAAATACTAACTTCTATCTTATGAGTAAACATACAAACATATTATATACATATATATATACATAAGTCACTTAACTATACAGATAAAGGCGTGCCAACTTCTTTGTTGTTGCGAAAGTGACCTATATCTGAAGTTTCACAAAACAGCGTAAGTTACAAAAAGGTGCTAATTCTACGACAATCTACGATTTTTGTCAACCCTTTTTGTTATTTCAATAGTTTCTCTTTCTTCTTGGCTAGCCATAATTTTATGCAAATATCTGTGAATAGCCATGAAACGTTKAAAAGATTTTACACACATATGTATGTGTATATCACAAAAGCTGGCCATAAATATGGTAGTGAAGACGAATGAATGCCTTATAAATATTTGATTATGAAGAGATACAATGAACATCTTCAGACGGCATTGCTTTTTATTCTTTCTCTCAATCGAACTAAAGAACATATAGAGGTATGTATATTATCATCTGTGGGCAAAAAATAGTAAGAATTTCAAATTATACTATTATTACTATATAAAATTATAGTATGTTTTATATACACGCGTGTATGTAAATAAGAAAAGGTGAGAAAACTGAATAGAGGTCCAAATCTAAAGAAATCTATTGCAGTAGAAAGCTTTTCTAACTCAACGTATGATCTTTAAGAATGTATTAATGCTGAGAATTACCTATTATCATATTTGGAAAAACTCCACATACATTGTGTCAAAAAATAGCCGGACATTATAAATAAAACGCGAAATATTCAAGTATTCGTCAATATTTTTTTATTCGCCTTCAAACTTATGCCAACGATGTTTTCAGTCCTCGAAACACTTTTCATAAACACTTTCTGGGATGGCGTTCAGCTCCTTCTCCTTCAGTTTTATCTCTACAATCGACTGGAAACAGGTCCCACGGATCTGCAACTTCAGTTTGGGGATAAAAAAACAAAAACACACGGAGAAAATCTGTTGCATACAGTGGTTGGTCGAGGGTATTCATTGCAAATAGCTCGATATGATGTTTAAATTCATCGTGTAAAGCCCGTTCTCACTCAAACGCCTCAATACGGTCAATTAGAACTCTTCATTGACTGTCTGTCCCTCCGGAACAAATTGTTGATGCACTGAACCACGAAATTCGAAAAAATTAGTGGCTTTGGTTTGGAGAAATGTCGAGGACGCTTGCCATCCCTCTTACGCTTGTTTGACAATTTTCAAGCAACATTCACTTTTTTAATATTTTCATCAGTGGAAGAGGTGGGCACGGATTATTACCCAAAGCATCGCCACAGTTTCGAAGAAATTATGCAGTTCGGATAACTGTACCATATTGTTGCCATAAAAACTGAACGAACGGAATCAATGGCTTGTTTGGAAAACTTCAATTTCTAAAGAAATTATTCAGATCGGACAACTACAGCATATTGCTGCCATACAAACTGACCGAACAAAATCAGGTTCTTGTATGGAATATTTAGTATTTGTTAACGGTATTTATCTTTAGCGCAATCAAAGTTAACTTTTTCCTTGTTTTTTTTGCTTTTGGTCTTTCAATTTCAATTATACTTTAAAATAACTTTCTCACGTACATAAAATGTTTCCATAAAACCAGCTGTACATATGTATATTAGCGAATCTGTATTCTTCTTTGGCATATATCAGAAACATAATAATATTGTACGAACAATTAATTTCAAAGAATGTGCTTCCTTGAAAGCACACCTTATTTTAGCTGCTGAGGAGCCGCGCCTACTCCAAAACAACCTTTGTTTGCGCTAGCGATCCAATCACATAATTTTGTTAACTACTATATGCTAAATACATAATTTATGTTTGACCTTGTGTCTTGTGCAGATTGTTAGCAATTTTACTGCCATAAAACTTTAACTAGGTGCTCACATATAAGGGGTAAAAGGGGAAAGTTTTGTTCATAATCGTAAAATATTTTTTAGACGATGGACAGTGAACAATAAATTCTTGCAAAAATATTATATATGTAACGAAATTATTTTATGGAGTTTCAGGCATACATTTGTGAACTGAACAGGAGACTCAGTCACTTAGAAATATAATTCTAAGAGGATAATTAGATTGATTATTTATACTATTCAAATAACATGAAGACTTTTTTTGCCAAAAAATCATATAAAGGAGTATTTAGATATATAATGAAAATGTCTAATAGTTTAATGGATAAGTTTGAATGAAACTTTAAGACTACCTAGAATATTAAACATGTTTAAACCTAACAAATAATATTCACTTCTTTACACAACCTATTATTATTATTATTTCGCCGCGCTATATAGTCTGACCTTAGCTTTTACACTACCATGCTTAAAGCAATGCTTTAATGTCTACCAGACACGTGGCTTCTGCTAATTTGCTTATGAAAGCAGCATAATGAATTGGAAAGCTATTTGTGCAAATATTATTCAAAATTGTATAGCATCAACAAATTAGCGTTGAGCAATGTTAACTATTGTCAACCGAAATCTTCTTTTGATGCATAGCCATTGTCATCAGCACCTGCTTGTGACACATTAACGCATTCTCACCCATTCGTATCATTAATAACACATCGTACTTATTAAGCATTATTATTTTTGTTTTTTTTTTTTTTGCGAAAAATACCAAACGTTATACTCGCACATTTCCAGAAGGAAGACATTACTTTTAAATGCTTTACCTTCATGTTCAGGTTCTCTTTCTATTACCAACTAACTAAACTGTACAAAAACGAGAAAATTTGACTGGATGATAAAAAGCTGTATCGTTCTATTTTGGATTTTTAGAAAATGTAAGATGACTTTTAGAATAAAGTAAGACTATATTATTGAACTTCTTATCTATGAATAAAATTTGTTATATTCGCTAAATTTAGTTCCTCTAATTGCTTTTGTCAACTCGGCTATAATCGCGTAAGCGGTGTCTACGCCAATTAAGAAGAAGAAGAATTGCTATTTACCTGGGTCGATAATTTTTGAAATTCAGAAAAAATATGAAAATGAAATCCATTCAAAAAAGAAAATAAACTAGAAAGGAATAATTATTTACGATCTGTGGCCGGAAAGAGGAAGGGAGGGATGGAGTGATTTTTAATGGTAAGATACGGTTTATCTCGATTTCCGGCAAAAGTACAAGAAAGTTAAATGGCAAAATTGAAGGTAATTAAAAGATCCACAACTTTCATGCTTTTTTAATTTGGTGGACTTTATGACCGTTGAAATCTATATTTCCTTTTGGTGTAAAATCCACTAAGAGTTCAACACTATATAGGACAGGCGTTAACTACTTCATAAATATGTAACGGAAGCTCATAAACAGCTTGTCATTCACCAAATCTTTGAGATCTACTGCTATTATTGGACTTATGTATGTATAATTCTTTATAGTAATTTATTAAGTTTTCACTACCATTTATGCTGAAAAATCGAAAATTCTTCATCGTAAAGTCCCTATATTGTGCAAGAATAAAAGGTTTATTTATTTATATGGCGCCGGATGAGCATAACTAACGACGTTACATGCACAAATTGCAGGGAAGTAGGTATGAGATATGCTGGAACACCTGCTATGCTTTTTTCCAGACTTATCTAGAACTCGTTTTGGTTATCAAGGAGCTTCGGAAATCAAGGGATTCGATGAAGTAGCAGAATTAGAGATCAAGTCTTTATTAAAATTACCAAAAATCGTTGAAATACTGCATGACGTAAACTTCAGTTCGTATTTAACTGCACCTCCATCTGGCATTATTAACGACCAGTGCTTATATGCTATCAGTATAACCAAATCTATATATTCAAGTACTTTTTTAATTTTTGCAAAAAATATTCACTCCTTAAAATTTTTTAAAGAGAGCCACACCCCCTTATTATGGATTGACTTCTTAATATATAATTCCAATTAAAATCTCCTCATATGTAAATTATTCTCCTCCAAGTAATTTACGTAAACATTTGTGATTACTACCACTTCTGGAAGATTATCTTTAAAAACCCGCATTAAGAATTTTCATATGTATATATAATTTTAACGAGTGCACACTGTAAGTACGTTCAACTCAAGCGCATAGCAATAAATATCTAAAACTTTTGAATCTCTAAGAAAGTAAAAAAACTTTCTTAATATTTTTCTTTTTCTACGGCATTCACATGTTTGTATGAGTGTTTGTATTTAATTTTAAAAATATTTTATGCATCTCCGTATTAATGACGCTAGTTATTGACATTGTCTGCCAATTTATTGACTCTCTAAAGGCGATTATTCTTAAGATATTTGCGTTTTTATTTTCTAGCGTTGCGGATACATCTTTTATACCTGCGTGAGTAAATATGTATTGGTATTTTGGCGCAAACGTCCTCAAACAAAATATATTCACTTCAACACAAAAGCATACTCTATAACAACAACGCATGCCAATTTTAAGTCCCGGTCTTTTCTGGACAACTTTGTGCAGGTGTGGCATTTGTTTATTTATTTACTTCGCTTCACACAAAGAAACACACATACATACATATGTATAGGTAGGAAATGTGAAATAAGTGCTTTTGCGGGTTCAATATTCGCAGCTCGCTTTGGGTGTGTGTGCTTTATTGCGAAGTTTTGATATTCGAAGTTGATTAGTTGTGGAAGATTTTATTGAATTTTTTTATTAAAAACGAATATCACTACTAAACTCTTAAGTGTTTATGCTTGTTTGGAGAAAGTTATGTGTTTTCTTCTCTAACAAATTGTCGTTTCTTTTTCTTATCACAGCTTATTTATTTATTTTTTTTTTTTTTTTTTTTTTTTTTTTTTTTTTTTTTTTTTTTTTTTTTTTTTTTTTTTTTTTTTTTTTTTTTTTTTTTTTTTTTGTTGTTAATTTTGTCACTTCATCGTTACTTGTCACAAATTGCACGGTTTGTTTATTTGCCGGTTTGCTGTGTACTTTAAGTATAACTGACGAAATATTATGTAACTTGTGTAATTGTGGTATTACTTCAAAATATGTGGGGTATTATTGGGCTACATCTTGTACTGCAATTATTTATTTTTTAGAAAAACTAAATATTGTGTTTTAATCACTGTTAAGGCGCTCAGCAGCGTTGTATTGAATTTCAAAAAATTATAAATCTAAGACATTATTAATAATGCCGATGTTAAATATGTTCAAATGGACGTCAAAAGTCTACGTATGGCCCATATTTCTAAGGTCTGTCTGAGTCCAATAAACTAATAGGAGTAATTCAATGATGAAGTTTCATTTTAATTAATTTTTACTAAGGAATTATAAAAAAGAAACGCCTTTCCATACAAACTACTGTGGTCGTCCAATATAACGAATATTTTGTTCTACTCCTAATTCATAAAATCGAAAACTTCTTTAAATTAAAAATCTAATCCTTTGATAGTTTTTCCCAAGAAAATGCCAATATACGCGATACACCTTCGATAATATTAATATGTTTTAAAGGATCTGAGATACTTTTTATAGCTTTACTTAAAATGCAACGAAGTTTCGCAAGTCTAATGGCGTTTTGATTTAGCGTTGCATTAGGTGGTACTTATATATGTAAAAATTGTCCAAATCAATTTGCCATCAGCAGTTTAAAGGTGCGTGACCTTCTGAAACAACCAAGATAAGCAGGGCTTTCTTTGGAAGGTTCTGTTCAACCAAAAGTCGAATCACCTTTAAATCCCAAGTTCATGAATACTACCTGTAGAACCAGTGAGCGAATAATCCATTTTGAAAGATGAAAGTAAAAATTTTCCCTCGTAGAACTTATATTGAAACTTGTTCATTATTGTCTTTGAAATGACACCACTAATAGAAGCAACCGCAAGGTACTTTGAACAGACTGAATTACGTTTATCTCAGAGAGAATGGAATCTTGAAAAGAAGTTATTTAAATGTTCTGCAGATATGGTACAAAATTAAAACCATTGCTGGTTTAACGGAACCAGCTTTTGTGCGAAGAATATAGCAGCATTCGCAATATGGAAACCATGAATTGGGCTTCGCATGCCTCTTCCGTCTGCACCATATTCTTTAGATCTGGTCCCCAGCTTCAATTTTTGTTCTCAGATCCCAACCGAATGTTCGCTGGGAAGGAATGATCTTCGAATTAAAAGGTGATCGCCGAAATTGGGGACTATTTTGAAGCAAATTACAAATCGTACTACAAAAATGGAATCGAAAAATTGAATGGTGCATCATCCTAAAAGAGAACTATATTAAGTAAAAACAATTTTGGCAAACAGACATGTTTTACTATGGTAGGTTGGGACCATTTCAATTGGCCTCTTATGTAGATATATTCCCGATTCAACTATACTTCAATTTATTCTCAATTCAGAATGCTTAAGATAATATCAATCGAATACACGTATTTAATTATTTTGTGAAAAAGAAAGTTTAAAACGTAGGCAATACGTGTGATCTGAAGACTGCATTAAGAGCAATTTTTATATGTAAAAGTTATATTCACATAGTATACATATATATTATTTAGTAAATAGGTAAATAGGTTTGAAAGTGCTTGATTTTAATATTAGCACATGCTTAAGCATCATTTCTTTCTTGGCGAAACTTGTTATCTTAAACTTTTTCAAAACAAAAAAAAAATGAAATTAAATTAAAAAAAAAAAAACTCAAATAGAATTTAAATCATCACATAAAGTTGTTTAGCATTTCATTGCTTTCGTTACGTCGTTTAATTTCATATTCTGTTTAGTTCTGATTTGTTAAAATTTTGAAGTCATGCTCGTTAACTATTTAAATTTCCCCCAAAAATTTAATGGCAATGCATGAACTCTAGCCGAATCATCTTTGCATTTCACACCACATTTGCATATTTGCTTTGGATAATGCAGCAGCTGTCTGAAGCAAGAAATCTAGTTTCCGGAAATTATCTCACGTTCTTGCGCCACATAACTCCACGAATGTCACGTAGTAAATTTAATTTGACATCAGTATATGTTTTCACCGTCAGCCACAGCAGACAGCCACTATTTCACTCACTTAATTATAATAACTAGTTGACAATTTCAACGATTAGTTGATGCTCATTTAGCATGGCAAGAACAGAGAAACAAACTTGTGGGAATGAAATGCAAATAGCGTTATTGAGAAGTAAACGTATATCAATCAGCTCGAAGGCCTACGTTTTTTTATTTTCTGCTAATACTAATTTTGCATTCAATACATTTTACTAAATATTTAAAAATTTAAAAACAAAAAAAGAAGAAATGGCTTCGTTTCTGCCTTAAAAAATTAACTTATGAAATGTGAAAGTTTGAAATATGCATACTTGAATATTCACACTTCGCACCTTAAAACCACACATTTATTACACTTCTAAGTAGTCCGCTTGTTTTAAGAAGGGTTTAAAAGCAACAACAACTTTTCATTAAAGTGGTGCTACGCTGCGGTCCATGGCTTTAGCTCATTGTCTTTGGAGCAGCACCGTTGCATGTTCTTAGCTTGTACGGATTTAACAATAGCAAAAGAAAATCTTACCTTCCTTCCCTTCACAGGTAGGTTTCTTATAGCTATTGGGTTGTTTACTAAGTATTTTCGTTTGCTGACAAAAGCTGATCTTATTGTATTTTTCTCCCAGCTTTACCGCTATATATTTGAATAGCTAAAGCTTGTTCGTAAAATTTTCTTAAATTTTTTCAAATAGTTTTTGCTTGGTGTCCTAACGAACATGGAAAATTGAATACCGCAATTTCGGCACATTTTACTGTGTTACTATGAAAATTATAAAAATGCAGTTCAAGCAAGGCAGAAATTATGTAAAGTGTACGGAGAAAATGTGTTGACCGAACCCCAAAGCCAAAATTGGTATGCAAAATTTCGTTCCAGCGATTTCGATCTTGAGAACGCACTATGTCTTGGAAGGTATCATGAAGGCATCACAACATTTCCATATATATATTCAAATAATGTAATATCGGAAGAAATTGTTCAGATCGGCTCACTATAGCATATAGCTACCATACAGACCGGACTATCGGAATCAAAGGAAAACTTTTGCATTTGACGTGGTTTCTTCACGAAATTTGACATGGATTACTGCTTAAGGTAATAATATAATCTCCAAAAAAATTGTTCAGATCGGATTACCATAGCGTATAGCTTCTATACAAACTGAAGACATAGTTACTAAAAGAAATGCACCTGTGAAGGGTATATTAGCGGGGTATTCGGTGCAGCCGAAGTTAACGTTTTTTTTTTTTTTTTTTTAA